TACCTTAACGGTTCCGTTACTGTTAGTATATAGCGCCAGGTATTATGACGCTATATATAAAAAAGTCATTTTTTTTACCACCTATTTATGTAGTTTGAGTCCAAAAAAATAACATTTTGGTTCCGGACTCCTTAATCCTTGATGCTTGACTAATCAATTCTTGTATTTTTTTTCTTGGAATATTCCTTTTCCATTGATCTTTAAATGGAAAATTAACACAATTTTTTCCCTAAAATTATATTGAATAAAGACATAAAAAAGAAAAGAAAAAAGAACTGGCACATTAAAATGTCAAACATGATATGGCATATAGATCTCTCCTAGTCATAGTGTCAATATTTTACTCGTCGATCGCATCTCACTTGTACTATATCCAAAGAGTCAAAAGTCAACAATTTAATTCACCACCTCATTTTTCTGATGTGTCAAATCCCTATTAGTCAATTATTTCACAAGACCCAACCCAATTGTGACACGTGCCTACGTTCGGTGTGACCTCATCAGCGCAAAAATCTCGGTGTAATAATGTGGGATCGGCAATTCTTGATCAACGTACAATGACATAAGAATAACGTACAACTCGTATAGTTTACCAGTCTTATACAAGTACACAACTGAAGACTTTCCCTCTTTACTTCTCTTCTTGTTCAGTTTCAACTTTCTTCACCAAAATGGCGATGAAGAAATATCTAATTCTCTCGATTCTTCTACTCAATCTCATTTTCCTCAAAACGGCGTCGTCTTTAGACAGCGAAAAAATTGAAGAAGAAGAAGATCTCAGTTTCCTCGAAGAAGAGGATTCTGCTGCTGATGCTCATTCAGATTCCAATCCGTACGGCGACCGCCACGATTTTGAGAACTACGACGATCTTGAGGATGATTCTGATGCTTCGGATCAAGGATACGACGCGTACGAGCCGCCGGCAGTGGATGAGAAGGATGTTGCAGTACTGAAGGAAGGGAATTTCAGTGAGTTTATTGCGAGGAATAAACATGTTATGGTTGAGTTCTACGCGCCGTGGTGTGGTCACTGCCAGGCACTCGCGCCGGAGTATGCTGCGGCCGCGACGGAGCTGAAAGGAGAGAATGTGATGCTTGCTAAAGTGGATGCCACTGAGGAAGCTGAGCTGGCTCAGAAGTATGATGTTCAAGGCTATCCCGCTGTTTTCTTCTTCACTGATGGCCTTCACAAGCCTTACAATGGTGAAAGAAACAAGTAAGTTGGTTTTTCACTTGATTCTGTCGTGTTTGAATTTGCGTGTTTGTGTGTGTGGCTTCTCAATTTTCGGCTTGCTTGGTGAATTAACATGTTCCTCTTTGCTATCTATTACTCTTGCTAGTGACTTGTACTTCTATTTATATTCTTTAAATTTTTCTTACAATGTAACTTATTGTGAGAGTGGATCTTAAATTTGTACAATGTCTAGTTTCATTTGTAAATTCATTGGAAGTATTGGTGAGTGCTGAAATGAACTGCTGATGTGCTCTTGACTGGTGGTCCTGAACTCGTTGAAAGAACTTGGAAACCTATTAAATTACTATATGGTCGAAAGTGTTGATTAATCTCATTTAATACGTATTCTAAGCATTGGCTTTGCTTAGAATTTTGAAGATTTTTACAACATACATGTAATTTGACTCGTTGTATCATGTTGTTTACCATAATTTCCAAGTTACAAATTGGTGCTTCATATAAACAGTTAGTTGTACTTACTTTAACTTGATATAAACAGTTAGTTGTAATTACTTTTAAGTGACCTAATTGTGTAAATAAATTTTGACAACATATAAAAGTAAAATTCTTTCCTTCCATACGGTCAGTATTGTTATCTTAACATTCTTTCTACTTTGTTGTACTCCGAAGTGGATTTTCATTTGTTTTTCATTGCAGGGATGCTATTGTTTCATGGATAAAAAAGAAGACTGGACCTGCTCTATCAAATATAACGACGGCAGAGGAGGCAGAACGTATCTTGAAAGATGAGAAAAAAGTAGTGTTGGCTTATTTGAATGATTTAGTGGTAATTCCTCTATCCAGGCTGGTTTTCTTTTCGTTATTGAGCATGATGGGACCTAAACGCAATTCAGATTATGGTGATTAATTAGTACAGTATTACTTCTCTTACCCAATCTAAAGTTGCTTTTAGATTCAATCATCAAAATCTTATAGATGGAGAGAGTAGTAGCTGTAGCTTGCGAACTAACTTTAGAATTGATTGAATTCCTCGACTTTAGGTTTTTTTGGAGGAATTTGCTGATATCTCATCATATCCACCTGCTATATACTCTACTAGATATATCACTGGTAACAAAGGTGGATGTGGGTTTCTTAATTTTGATTTGTTGGGGATTCAAAACCTAGCTAAAGGGACCAAAAGAAGATTTATACCAAAGAGTAAAAAGAACATATGTGGAAGCCGAATTTAGCGACTTTTGGCATGTAATACAGTGATATAAAAAGTTGGGATGTCTTTTCCAGTTATATAGGTGATACTGTGATAATGCAAGTGAAGATTATAATACCACTTTCTCAATTTTAATTTTATGGGGAAAACCCAGCTAGAGGGAAAAACATGAATTATAATTCGTAAGGATAAAAATGGAACACCAGCAAAATAAAAAGAAATGTATGGCAGTTGAGTTCTATTTTTTCGTAATTGGCAGCATTTCTTAGCATACTGTTGTAGCATATATGTGTGGTAATTTCTTTAAAAAAATCATTTTACATGTTTGCAGGGTGATAAAAGTGAAGAGCTTGCTGCAGCTGCTGCACTAGAAGATGATGTCAACTTCTATCAGACTACCAGTCCAGATGTGGCAAAGCTCTTCCACATTGATTCTCAAGCCAAACGTCCAGCTCTTGTCATACTTAAGAAGGAAGCCGAAAATATCAACCACTTCGGTTAGTCTGGCTAATGCAGTTATGTAGCATTAATCATTTCAATAGAGAAGTATTTACCAATGTCATGCTTTCTTGCAGGCGGTGAGTTCACAAAGTCAGCAATAGCTGAGTTTGTTTTTCAGAATAAACTTCCTCTTGTCACCTATTTTACTCGGGAAAGTGCCTCAGAGATATTCGAAAATCCCATTAAGAAGCAGGTGATCATTAAGCTAACAATAGAAGGCTGATCTTGGATGGTTTTTCTTTCTTTTGTTTTACATGTTCTCTTTCTTATTCACAGTTGATACTTTTTGCCACTTCCAAAGATTCAGACAAGTTTCTGCCAATATTTCAAGAGGCTGTGAAAGCTTTTAAAGGAAAGGTGAGAATCTTACCACCTCTTTCAGATATGCACTATTATGGGCATTTATGAATGTCTCATGTATACAAAGAAAGAGAAAAAGGGATTTCTGATACTTGGAAACATGCTCAGAAGAAAGAAAAGCCTTTATTTAGGGCAGCCAGTCACTTTATAAAGAAGCTGTCTGCATAGTGTGCTTTTGCCAATTCTCTGACTCAAAAGTCTTTCCTGTTTTTTTTTTTTTTTCCAAAAACCTTGCAGCTTATCTCTGTGTATGTTGAAATCGACAATGAAGATGTTGGAAAACCCGTTTCAGAGTACTTTGGTGTTAGCGGTGATGCCCCAAGAGTAAGATGTTTTTAGTTTACTCATTTTGCAGAAGATTTTGTTTTCGAACTTCCATAAACTTCCTAGCATCTAACTCGAGAATTGGTGCAGGTTCTTGCATATACAGGAAATGAGGATGGGAGGAAGTTTGTACTGGAAGGTGAAATAACCTTGGACAGTGTCAGGGTTTGTTCACTGCTAACTTTAGAACCAAACTTTTGGATAAACCGTGTGACAAATTCTGGATGTTACTTCCCCATGTGTCAAATTAGATCAAATGTGTTTATGAATCAGTTATACATATTGTTTTCTTTTGAAATAAAACTATAAATGAGGGGTTCGGAGGGGAGAAAGTAGATTGAATAAATCAGAAAGTTGGAGTGATAGGCCTTTCCTTCTCAAAGTTACATAGAGTAAAACAGTTCATCAACTTGAAAATTTGATTTTATGATGTTAGCCTCGACGAGTTGGATAATACTCTTGAAAATAATACTCTTGAAACAATTAAATTTTTTGGCCGTTGAAATCTTTGTTGGTGAATGGTAAAGCTTGGCATTGATGGGAGGGAGGGGTGCAGTGGAATTCATTTTTGGAGCTTTGGATTTTGCTCCTTTTTGAGAGATCACCTTAGGTTAGCAAGGTTTTTCTCAGCTAATCCTCGACTTTCTATCTAATCCTGTATGTATTCTTTTGTTATTTGTTTTGCAGTCATTCGGGGAGAAGTTTTTGGAAGACAACCTAAAGCCCTTTTATAAATCTGACCCAATCCCTGAGACCGTAAGTCTTCTAGTTCTTTTCACTACTTTCCAACATTAAGCTTCAGATTGAGCTTTGTTTTCTCAAACCCTTTGATCATTCATGCAGAATGACGGGGATGTCAAAGTTGTGGTTGGCAATAACTTTGACGAAATTGTTCTGGATGAGTCAAAAGATGTTCTTCTTGAGGTACTAGTCGTCTTGTTTTGAATGAGTGCATGTATTATTCAATGATGCAAATAACTGGATGTGCAACATCCAAAACTTTTGAGGTTGTTCTGGATGTCTAATGGAGAATTTTGATTTGTGATTCAAAACAGATATATGCTCCTTGGTGTGGGCATTGTCAATCACTAGAACCCATATACAACAAGCTTGGCAAGCATTTAAGAGGCATCGACTCCCTTGTTATTGCCAAGATGGATGGTACCACAAATGAGCACCCCCGAGCCAAGGTACATTTTGCGACTTCATGTTTTGACTTCAGTTATGTACTCGTGTCCCGCACGGAATGTGCCAGATTCTATATCCCAGTACATAGTTGGTTTGTTGAATGGATATGTTTGCGAGCATGCTCAAGTTATACTGCATCCTTTCGTGTGTATACCAACATTTATCTGTAAGAAAGAAAATTTCTACAAAACTAAGGGTTCGTTGATGACGTAAGTAACTAAAAGTGTGGCCGCTAAGTCGCTAACAACTTAAACACTTAGATAATATGGTCACATTATTTAATATTATGCATAGGTCCTAAGTTTAAGTTTCACCACCATGCATAAAAACTTCACATGTTTGGTCTTCGAAAAGAGTCAAGCTATTGGAGGAAAAGAGTGTCAATTGTTTATTCTTTTCAATTATCCTTTGAAAGGTGCGATGGGAGGGGGTTATTGTGGTTGTTCGAACATTGGGTTAATGATTATTTGATTTATTGCAGTCTGATGGATTCCCAACACTTCTGTTTTTCCCAGCTGGCAACAAGAGCTTTGATCCAGTGAGTATAAATTAAAGTGCTTCCAAAATTGTTTAGTATATGTTCCATTCCATTTCGCTTCTTAAAAACGATGGATGATTCATCTTTAAATGATCATCCTGTTCTACAGATTACTGTTGACACAGACCGTACAGTGGTGGCCTTCTACAAATTCCTGAAAAAGAACGCATCTATCCCCTTCAAGATTCAAAAGCCGGCCTCAACACAGAAACCTACAGAGTCTGACGCCAGTTCAAGCCCAGAGAGCACCATTGATGATGTTAAGGATGAACTGTGAAATTCTGTAGCTAGGTTCTAGCATATTGGTCAAAGCTTGACTTTAGAAAGGAACTCCAAGCATGCCTTACTTAGCGCGCTTTAAAGGGTGGGAGTGGAACGTGAGAAAGTGATAGCAACATTTGCATTGAAAGATGTAGGTAGGAATAGAAAGTAGAATGAGACGCCCGGGCTCTTTTTTTGTTTTTGTTTTTTTGTTTTTTTGTTTAATGGTTTCATATTCTTGTTTTTTTTTTTTTTTTGTTTTTTTTTTTTTGTTTTTGTTTTTGGTTGACTGAAAATAATGTTATGGTGCATTGAAAGTCAGACAAGGGATGTTTCTTCTAATAGATTCTTCTTGCAAATTACTTGTCAAAAAAAAGATTACAACAACAACAACAACAACCCAGTATAATCCCACAAGTGAGGTCTGGGGAGGGTAATATGTACGCAGGCCTTTACCCTACCCCGAGGGGCAGAGAGGTGGTTTCCAGGAGACCCTCGGCTCAAGAAAGCAACAAGAGACGATATATTAGTACTGTCAATAGACTCATAATAAAATAACAATCATATAAGAAATATAGAAAGTACGAAAAAGATGGAAGATATAATAATATCCAGCAGATAAAGCCCTGCATCAGTAGCTAACCAGTAGCATCCTAAGACTAATTCCTAACTGGCTAGTCTCACCCTAGTGCGCTGTAGAAATACTCACAACTTCCCCCTAGCCTACAACCCTAATGCTCGACCTCCACACTTCCCTGTCAAGGGCCATGTCCTTAGTAATCCTAAGTCGCGCCATGTCCTGCCTGATCACCTCTCCTCAATACTCCTTAGGTCTCCCTCTACCTCTCCTCGTGCCCACCACAGCCAGTCGTTCACACCTCCTCACCGGTGCCTCAGTGCTCCTCCTCTGAATGTGCCCGAATCATCTGAGTCTTGCTTCCCGCATCTTGTCCTCCATTCTTAATCTTATCCATCCTTGTATGCCCGCACATCCACTTCAACATCCTCATCTCTGCTACTTTCATCTTCTGGATGTGTGAGTTCTTAACCGGCCAACACTCGGTCTCATACAACATGGCAGGCCTAACCACTGCTCTATGAAACTTACCTTTTAGTAACGTTGACACTTTTTGTCACACAGGACTCCCGACGCTAACCTCCACTTCATCCACCCCACCCCTATACGGTGTGTGACATCCTCGTCGATCTCCCCGCTCCCCTGAATAACTGACTCAAGGTACTTGAAACTACTCCTCGTAGGAATGCCTTGAGAGTCAAGCCTCACTTCCACTCCAGCTTCCGTCGGCTCGGCCCCAAATTTGCACTCGAGGTATTCCGTCTTCGTCCTGCTCAACCTGAAGCCTTTAGACTCAAGGGCCTGTCTCCAAACCTCTAGCCTCTCTAGATTCTTCTTGCAAAAATTGATCTGCCTTTTGTTCTTTTCCCTCTTCCTTTAATTTCTTGAACCAAGTTCTGCACTAGTTTGGCACACGTGGTGTTTATACCAAATCACTTAAACTAGTTTGGTACTATGTTTAAGTGTATGGTACTTCCTTAAGAACTCTGTTACATTTTTCTTACTACAACAGCAGTTTTTCTTTATGCAAGCATATCCACAAATCCTGAAATCACAAATGTAAAAAGGAATGAAACAAGTTCATACATTGACCAAAAAAACTGTAGAATATCTTTTATCACATAGGTCAATTGACACCTCTAAAATATTTCTGAATTGAATGGCGCCTAACTAGTTCTTACTAATGATAAGTGATTCTGATACTGTTTGTGCTTTTTTGACGCAATCATCATCTAAACCACCAAGGCAATTGAGTAGAAAGGTTTTCAGAAAGTTGACAATATGTAGTAGCACTTATTTCCACATAAGAAACTGATAGCCTTTACCAGATGGACACTTTGAAATGCAGAATCAGACAATTTCTTTTTCTCTCCACCCACACGGCTTCCTCACACGGTGCTGCTTCTGCTTCTCTCTCTGTCTCTCTTCTTGAATCATAACATCACACCATTGCATCATTTCTCTCATTCCATCCTTCATTTTCTTTAACCTCAAGGCATTAGGAGATTCTCCATTGTTATTAAAAGCGTCACTTAATTCTTGAACATTATTTGGTGACAAGCTAGCTGTTCTTGCCAGTGCACATTGAGCAGGTGATTTTCTTTTATAAGAAGCAGAGCCGCCTGCGGGATCAGAGGAACTCTGTGGAGGAAATTGAGGTGGCATTAACGGCGGCTTAGCCGGCGATGGAGAAGGTGACGGAGTTCCTGAATTTTGGAATAACTGGATTTCGATAAAGCAGTAGTCAAAGGAGAATTAGATTCTTGTTACTCTCTTTGATATTTGTTGGATATTTCTGATTAAGAAAAGCAATAAACAGTAAAAGGGAATTAAAAGAAAAGATAGATGTACTATCCAAAATCTATCTAGTCGTGATCGCACCTAACACAACTCGCAAGTTAAGTCAAATAATATAAATTACAACTAAATTGAGAAATCAACAATGTATATAATAGAAACTATAACCCAATATAATACAATTACCCCAAGAACCGGTGGCACAAGTAGCCACTATAATTTGGAAGAATAAATACAATAATTGTTTGAAGTTTACATAGACAGAACTTATATCTTAAGCTACCATGAATAAAAAGCAACTCGAATCTGGAACGCGGGTACGTCTTCAATGCACAACTTCGTCTTCCACAACTACATCACTTCAAGATCTGCACACAAGATGCAGAAATGTAGCATGAGTACACCCGACCCCATGTACTCAGTAAGTATCTTAACTAACCTCGGTGAAATAGTGACGAGAATTTTAGTTAAAAGATACCTACTTATATTTGTACCTGTGCAGATAATAAGCAGAAGAGCAAATACGAGAAAAGATACACACATAATCACGTAATGAATGAATCATGAATACAAATGATAAAGGGCCCCACAATATCATCACTTCTCAGTCTCACAACACGATAAACTCACATAAAACAAAGTCATGAATAACCATAATACATCTTTTTCTCCATTGCGGCACACAATCCGATTATATATATATATATATATATATATATATATATATTGCAGCGTGCAATCCGATCCCCTATATATATTAGTCATTGTTGCGACGTGCAACCCGATTCACAATATCAACAATATCATATGAAACCACAACAACAACCAAACACGGGAAAAGTTCACAACGTAACACTAAGAAAACAAATATACAGTATCCGACTAGGTAATACAACTCAAAAAGATAGAATGAGCAGTCCAATATCAAAAACTAATCCACCATATATGACGACAAGGCTTCCACAAGGTATATCATACAACCAATCCACAAGTCACCCAATCCGGTTAAGCAATTGAGAGTAATAATACATGAAACGAGCAAAGATGTTTATCAAGTAAGAACATGGATCAAATGAAGGCATTCAATATATGAAAGCATGTAGCAGGTAGAAGCACGTAGCAAGTAAAAACATTTAATCAGTGAAGGCGTATGGTAAGTAGAGCGTTTAGTAAATAGAAACATATAGCAGGTTAAAACATGTAGTGAGTGAAAACATGTAGCAAGTTAAGGCATATGGTAAGAAGAACATATAGTAAGTGGAGACATATAGTAAGTTTAAACATGTAGTGAGTGAAAACATGTAGCAAGTTAAGGCATTTAACAAATAAATCACGTGACAATTTGAGGCATATAACAGGTATGGGCTAATAACAAATGTGAATTCGAAGAGGACATATAACAGAAGTAATTCAAGTGAAAATGCAAGTGCAACAGTAACAGACAAGGTAAAGACATAGCTATACAGTAGGGACCAAAGAGAAAATATAGTGATAACTACATAAGGAACCCAAATGGAAGGTATCCTACGAAAGAGCAAACACTAATAGAAACCAAAGTAAAGGACATGTAAGTGCTTAATGAATGAGTAATCATAACAAAAATCCAACTTCCTTTCTTTTTGCACGGTAATAACCAACAAACCAATCTCATTTCAAACCGCATGAAAATATTCATCGTGCCAGCATCATATCAACCGCACGGAAATAATCATCATGCCAAACATAGCCCTAATCCCCAATCCTTACATATATTACGGATAAAGAATATCAGGTAGCAAGACAATAACATGTATAAATGGGTGTTCATGATACTACGATCAATTAAGAAAGTAAACAGTCTGAAAACAATACATTAAATTATTTTTACGATGTTACATGTTCTAACATGATTTATAACATAGTTAATTGAGTTTATTAGTCATGGATAAGGTTGTACTGTGGGCCGGTCTGGGCCCGGGACCGGCCTAGGACCGCGGGCCAAACGAGCCTAATGGGTCGGTTCAAGTAGGCCTGGGCTTAAGTGGTGCAAAAGACCGCGGCAGACCGGTTCAACACAAATAGCCCATGAGCCCGGGACCGTTAAACTCGGGACCGGCAGGCGGGCCTGGGCCGGTTCAATCGGGCCCAACGGCTATTTTTTTTTTTTTAAAAATTCTTTTTTTCAAAAATGCCCAACGGCTAGATTTTGAAATCTGACCGTTGGGCTTCAAAATTGGTCCGTTATGCACTTTAAAAAATAGCTATTTGGCCTCCAAACTTTGCTTTAACCCCAAACTTTTTATAATTACATTTTTTTCCAATTCTCAACTATAAATACCTGCCCATTCTTTCATTTTTACTCACAAATTCATCAATATCTCTCTAATTTTCTTCTATAATTGCTTACTTTATTATTGCAATTTCGTGAAAAATTGTGAAGTTGGTGAATTGAAGTATTCAAGTCTTCAACGATATTCAATTTTCAAGAAGTTGTTCGTCAATTCGGTAAACTCGTTCCAACTCTTAAGTTTTAATATTATAGTTTTGTTAGTTTTATTTAGTATAATTATAATTAATATGACATTTTCTTTGAAATTTTTTTTGGTGGTAAAGGTAAGGGAAAATCTAAAATTGGGGAATCTAGTAGCCAAGCTACTACTCTTCCCCCGGCTCCCCAACCCAGACCTGTTACCCGTCCTCCTCCACCTGTTATTCTTGATAGTGATAACCCTTATTTTTAATTTTTCGATAGTCAATTTTGCCATGATGTTGCACCGGGTCAACAATTAAATGAAGAAGTTATGAATGCTCTTTATCCTAATGAAACTATCTTTGAAAATGATGAGGAAAATGATGATTTAGATGAAACGCAACCGGATTTAGATGATACACCTACTAG